AGTGTGGAGATATTTAAATAAATTCATTTGGTTTTTTGCCTTGAGAAAATCCACATTGAACAAAACGCGTCGGCTACAATTACAGTTGTACCCTTGTCATTTATATTTATAAATATTGCCTTTTCTACAGGTTAACTCTGACAAATTTTCATATATATATATATATATATATATATATATATATATATATATATATATATATAAACGTAAAAGACAATAGGAAAACTGTAATATTAGCTGACGTGGTTCATCCAATGTGGACATTGTCAAGGGAAAAACGAAGTCACTATTAATAACAAGACAAAATATCCTTAGCAACTGGAAGAATTTAGAAAACGCTATTATATTCACATTGTTAAATGAAAATTACGTCAACTACTGTCACGTGTGGAAATATAGTTTTATTGTTGTGTTCAAGTCAAAATAATGTTTTGTACTTACTGTACGTTTACAAAAAATGATCACTACTTACAAGAACTATATAAATGCAGGAACTTTTGACATTTTCAATATCTTTACTGAACACGAAACAGCAGCTAAGTAATCCACGAACGAAGGTGTTGCTGTGACGATAGCTAACAAAAAACTGGCGCCAACTAAACCTACGTAGCTGGGCTGGGCAACCAGCATCCAGGGGAGATAAGGTCACTTACACAGCTGCACATCATCGAGGAACCTTCCAAGTAGTTTCTGATATTTGTATTTGTGGCAGGCCATGTCAGCACCTGAAAAACTTTCGGATTTGGGAATTTTTCGGGTTTGGGAATTTCGGATAAAAGATCTCGAAAGGAAATAGTTACTTCGACGTCAATAAAAGAATAAGATTCAAGGAAACAAAAGCTAACGATTAAAACTGTATTTAAATTTTGAAAATCATAGTTGACAGGAAAGCAGAAAGCGACAAGAGAGTTCCACAAGTGTGACATGCAGGCGAAGAAAGTATTAGCATAGAACTTACGGTTCTAACTCGCAATTTCAACAAAGAAATTATGAGAGACCTAGCTGCCAATCTAGTACTGCGTTTAGATTCATGACGTTGAGGTACAAGAGAGGAACACTCATCAGAGCAATTATCCGCATATTTTACACTATTAAAATTATATCCCCCAGCAATTAATCCTCATAGGGGATAATAGAACTTATAGGATCATCTAGTTGCATAAGCTACAGGTAATAAACTGCAAACATGCCATACATCAGTTTGATGTCATTATTTGCACAATCCATTTTATGGTTCTTTGCACAACCCTTTTCAATGAGTTAATCTGAAAAAGCATTTTGGTCGAATCCGAATAGAGATCATGATCTATCGCCGCAAACTGGACTACACCGACGAAACCACGCTGCTCCGTCGCTCGCTGTATATGTTGAAGAGGTCCCTCCTTGCGTTTAATGAAGAGGCGAAAATCCTTGGCCTGCATGTCAAGTCGTAAAAAAACAATCTGATGCCCGTTGGTGACAGCCCCGTCCCCCGTCCATCAGCATTGTTAGCGACACCGTCGAAATCTTCACTCCTATTATACACCTGGGCTCAGAAATTTCCAACATCGTCGCCCTATCACAGAGCTCAACAGAAGAGATGAGCTGGCTGCAGGCGTCAGGAGATGCTTCTGGAGACTACTATGGCGACATCGCAACATCTTTCTCTCCCTCTCTCTCTCACATACACACACACAAACGCACACACAATCTCTCACACACACACACACACACACAAACAAAGACACGGCACCTGAAGCTTGTGTTGTGCATGAAACTCCGAATCGTGCTACTGGTGATAGATAATATGTAGATAGATAGATAGATAGATAGATAGATAGATATGATGAAACTGATAGATAGATAACAGACAGAGCTAGCTAGCTTGATAGCTGGATAGATAGATATATAACAGACTGAGATAGATAGATAGATAGATAGATAGATAGATAGATAGATAGATAGATAGATATGATGAAACTGATAGATAGATAACAGACAGAGCTAGCTAGCTTGATAGCTGGATAGATAGATATATAACAGACTGAGATAGATAGATAGATAGATAGATAGATAGATAGATAGATAGATAGTGTATTGACGTAGCAGATCCTTATTCAAATATATTTTGGATGTGGTCGTAATATATATAATATGATTACTGTTATAGTCCGGTTCCTTGTACCCCGGGTGATAGTCCAAGGTAGAATCAATAAAGAAGAACTCGAACACAGATATGGAATAACACAGATATATTACAAACAGGAATATATACAGAGAAGTAGAAGTGTTAGTACGAACAATCAGGTTTAGTAGTAATGTCTGAACGCGACTCTGTTTCGGACTGCCTCTGACTCGACTGATTGACTCGCTCGCTCTGACTGACTGACAGACTCCTGACTGACTTCTGACGGACCTCACTCCAGACTTCAGACTGACTCTCGACTTCCTCTTGGAATAGTCCATTATGTTATTATGGGTAAGGTCCCCTAACAGATGCAAACTAAATAACGTGGTACTAGCAACTGTATATGAGTGTGATAGCGTGCATATACAGGGCAGCAAATAAGTATTTATTTAAATTATGGTGTAAACAAAATGTAGTTAAACAGAGCTATAGTTTGTATTATTAAAACATATAGCTACGCTTGTCAGTTAAATTAGAGTTTCATGGTTCCCCACTCGTCAGGCACAAATGGTAAATAAACCACTTAATACAGCTGTTTTTTTTTAAATTGTGTTTCATGAGAGGAACGTTAACTTGGACCATATATATATATATATATATATATATATATATATATATATATAGACACCAAAATTCGCTTGAGGATGAAATGGAACTAATGTCTTTAATTTAATTACAAAATTAAATTCGAAGCTTTCAGCTTCCATTTTTGAAACATGGTTAGAACTGTGTAGCGAAAAAAACATATTTTAAATCAATTAATTTATAATATTAATGCTCTGTAAATTTACATTGAACACTATTTTGTAAAAATAAAAAAATGAAAATATCTATAAGAACACCGGATTATATATCTTACTGTTCTTTCTTTATATATATATATATGTGTGTGTGTGTGTGTTTGTGTGTGTGTATTTGGATCAGTTGGGCTCTTATGTCCATCGTCTTTTGTGTTAAATTTTTATAAGTTATAATGTTAATTATGTTTAAATGAAAATGTCCATGAAGATGGTCTTAAATAGACCGAAACGTCCGACGTCGACTTTATTTTAACATTAATACTACATAATTGCACATTCAGATTTTTGTTTTTTTCTGTATTTTTCTTTCATACTGTCGGATTTATATCCATATATTTTTACATATATATATATATATATATATATATATATATATGTATGCATGAGTATATGTGTATGGATATATATATATATATATATATGTGTGTGTGTGTGTGTGTGTGTGTGTATGTGTGTGTGTGTGCGTGTGCACGTATATGTATGTATGTGTGAGTATATAGATATATGTTGTTGTTTATGTGAGTATCTACGTATGTGATTTGGGCATATAAATAGTAGGTCCTTACTAGATTAAATATTTGTTAATTTTTATATGTTTATGTTAAATTTATAACGTGTAGGTGACATTACTTGCTTTGTCAATTTTTCTTGTTTATACATCGGTTCTCTTATAAATTCCCTTCGGTTTTAGTTGCCCCCTCCCCAACCATCTATCATTTTATTTTTTCTCTCTTTCTCTCATCTTCTGGATTTTTAAGTTTAGATCATATCGTTTTTTATTGTGTGTGGTGTAACTGCAAATGTATACATGCATTTATTCTGTATGTTTTTTTAATTTTAATTTAGTTCAGCGAATCGGTAGCGAATTATGCATCGAAAAATAATTCCTATTTATCTGTATCTCACTCATTTAAACCGTTATTTAACTCCTCTCTTTAAAACATCTCTCTGTTAAATTTTAATCCCCACCTTCACCTTTAGGCCTTCCTGTTCTTCTTTCTTCTGTTCCCCCTCTCTCTAGAGCTTTCATACATTTCCCCCTCAAACTTCTTTCCTACTCCCATACATACACTCTCACTAAAATTTATATTAAAGTTATATTTTCCGATTTCTTTCTGAATTTGTAGAATCGTGATTACTATTCCAATGTAATAAATTATAACCATGGAATATTAGTGTTTGAGCCTTTTATATTGTATTATATATATATATATATATATATATATATATATATATATATATATATATATACATGTATGTATAAAGCGACTATTTTATTCGTCTTCTGAGTAATTATCTTGGGAACAGGTCAACAGAACCACTTAACTCTGATTGTTTTGCCACAAACCGCAAGTTTAACTCGATGCCAATTGACGAGCGTTTAATGCAAGTGCCTAAACAGAAAATTATCGATCCTTCGATCACTTAATCAGTCAGAGTCAGTAGAAAGTATTTTGTCTCCTTTACATCGGACTGTTTACCGATTTCTTTTATGTCGATTGTCGTCTCGGAGGTTTTGTTAAGCTTCGTTAATTTCGACAAATATTTTTACAACGCCGCGTCGGATTTTTTTTCCTTTTTTTTAGTTAAGGTGCGAAATGGAAAAAGATATCTCTGGCAGGGTTGGCTGTTGGAGTCAGACGTTTTTTTTTTTTAATAGCCTTTGATTATTCATTCGTGATTTCGAGGAGACGTTTGCTCTCTCTCTTTTTCTATTTCGCTTTGTTCAATATTTATTTGATTATTTCGTCTGCAATGTTTTAACGCGGAAATCAGACTTGACAATTATTTACAGATTAAGGCGAATAGAAACTGTAACCGATTTAACTGGCTTTCAGATTAAAGATATAATTCATAAATCCATATTTCGAACAATTTTAAGAGGTCAGTTTCTAAAATACGGACCAAATGACCAAAAGATTTTTTTTCTAAATTTTGCAATCCCCGAAAATATGACAATGTTATTTATAGGTTAAAAGGCAAATTCTCGAGAAATGACATTAATTTTTGGTTGCTACTTGGATAAGTATAATTCAAGATAGATAGATAGATATGATCAGATATGATGCGACTGAGATAGATAGAAATAAAAAGACTGAGATAGATAGATAGATAGATAGATAGATAGATAGATAGATAGATAGATAGATATTAGCAGACTGATAGATAGATAGATAGATAGATAGATAGATATAAAAAAAAAATGAGAGATAGATAGATATGAAGAGACTAGATAGATAAATATAAGCAGAGTGATAGATAGATAGATAGATAGATAGATAGATAGATAGATAGATATGATCAGGTATGAAGAGACTGAGATAGATAGATAGATAGATAGATAGATAGATAGATAGATAGAAAAAGACTGAGATAGATATGAAGAGACTAGAGAGATAAATATTAGCAGACTGATAGATAGATAGATAGATAGATATGAAGAGACTAGATAGATAAATATGAGCAGACAGATAGATAGATAGATAGATACATAGATAGATAGATAGATATGAAGAGACTGAGATAGATAGATAGATAGATAGATAGATAGATAGATATAAAAAGACTGAGATAGATATGAAGAGACTAGATAGATAAATATTAGCAGACTGATAGATAGATAGATAGATAGATAGATAGATAGTTATGAGATGCGGCCGATGTAGATAGATAGATAGATAGATAGATAGATAGATAGATAGATAGATATGAAGAGACTGAGATAGATAGATAGATAGATAGATAGATATGAAGAGACTAGATAGATAAATATTAGCAGACTAATAGATAGATAGATAGATAGATAGATAGATAGATAGATATGAAGAGACTGAGATATATATATATATAAAGACAGAGATAGATAGATAGGTAGATATGAACTGAGAGTCAGATAGATAGATAGATAGATAGATAGATAGATGAAATGGGGAAGTCCGTAGATGGTATAACATATAATTTTATAATCATTTCACCCAAATCAAGACAATAAAGCCACTAAGATACAAGAGGTTACTGAGCATTACAAAATGTGAAAAAATTATTAAAGGAAGAGAACAATAAAAGAAAAAAAATTAAGACGGCGGATAACTGTTGACATTATATTTGAATTTTGGGGCCAGAAGCAGGAGGAAAGTTCACAAGCGAGTAGTGCGAAAGAAGTAACGATTAGCATAGCACTTATGATTACATTTTGCCATTTTAACGGTTGAAATGATGAGACCTAGCTGCCAATCTAGTACTGCGTTTATATTCCCAATATTCTAACTACCAAACAGGAAAGCTCGTCACAACCATTACCCTGAGAGTGTTTATAGAAATAATCCAGGGAAGGTACATTATGTTGGTGAGAAATTAACTGAAGGCGATATGCCAGATCATGACCATTAACACTGCAGATATTTCTTCGGATTTTGTCAAGAATCACTAAATATATAGCAGGAGCACCAGGCTAATTGTTTCAGCAATATTAGAAGGAATATATATATATATATATATATATATATATATATATATATATATATATATACACACTGATGAGCTGTGACACAGTGAAACAGTTTGTCTGTGGATGACAATATTTCTACTCCTGAAAAATTTATTTTCGTTGAGCTCTCTGGGGAGGAAGTGTGGGTTTGTAAACAGTGACTATTACGACTAATAATGCAAAGACTCTTCGATAAAGCGAATCGTCTTCTCTCAGATACATCTAAAAATAAAGACGCTTAAATTCACATTCGTTCGCCAACGGCTTAGGGGTAGAATCTCCGACTGACGTCAATTCAGTCGGGTTTCAATCTTGCTAGATGCAACTGGACGTCTAGCCACACTGATTTCGCTGTGATACAGCGAAACAGTCTGTTTGTGGATGACTATATATATATATATATATATATATATATAGGGCAACCTTACTTCTCGAAATTCTCCCTTGTCGACCAAATCGGTTTTCGAACAGAATATGAAAATGCCTCTGTTATCAAAGAAAATTTCGGTTCTCAAACAACATTGCGGAACCTAGATAACCCGAGAGGAATCATTTTTTATTCGACCGCCATGTTGTATAATTTCGTGTGTTGTGTTGTACTTTTCTTTTTCAATTTTATTGTACTGTGTTTTTTGTTTTTTTTTACTCTTCATTAATTTTCAATCGTGGTTCCAAAGAAAGCTAGCAATGATACTGGCAAAGGAGAAACAAAAGTTAAGAGAAAAACAGTTGTTGATGAAATTGTCTCTTACTACTCAGTTTCATATGGCAAAATCAACGAACTATACTCTTCTTAAGAATAAAGAGACGATCATCTCTTTCTTTTCCTTTTTCCAAACAGTAACATCTCTTTCCTTCCCCTTCCATCGCGCCATCAACTCTCCTACTTGCAGGAAGGGGGAAATTGAAGTGTTATTTTATCTGTTTAGTACTAGGTTTTTTTTTTTTTCTTAGAGTTAATGATTTTCATTAGTTTTGTGTATAACTTGTGCACAAAGTACTGTTGTTAAAGGTAAGCAATCGTCTTGGGACCAGGGACGGATAAATCCATTTTACATTGATTCCTACTGGAAAAACAGTTTCGTTTTACGAACATTTCGTGTTACGAACGGGCTTCACATTAATTAAATTCGTGAACCGAGGTTCAACTGTATATATATATATATATATATATATATATATATATATAATGGCTATTTTTGTAGTGAATTTATAACATACTTATGTTATAATTCTTTTATAAATAATAAATATATATATATATATATATATATATATATTGTCATCCACAGACAGATCAGTGTGGCTAGACATCCGGTTGCCTCTAGCTATGATCGAAAACCGACTGAATTGGCGTCAGACGGGGATTCTACCACTAAGCCGTTGGTGCACGACAGGGATCGAGGTGAATTTAAGTGTATTTATTTTTAGATAAACACACAGTGACTGAGAGAACTGAATTCGAATTACCGAGAGTCTTGCATTATATATATAAATATATATCTTAAATAAATATATATATATATATATATATATATATATATATCTTTATATATATATATATATTTTATATATATATATATATATCATATATATATATATATATATATATATATATATATATATATATATATATATATCTTATATATATATATATATATATATATATATATATATATATATATATATATATATATACATATATATATATATATATATATATATATATACATATATATATATATATATATATATATATATATACACATATATATATATATATATATATATATATATATATATATATATATATATATATATATATATATATATATGTATATATATATATATATAAGATATATATATATATATATATATATATATATATATATATATATATATATATATATATTTGTCGTGATTTCTATCATTTTTTCATTATTGGGCTATTTCCTATTTTACATTTTCATAACTTGGAAAAACAGCTTTAGATTTATGAATTAAAATTAAAATAAAACTTTATTATTTAAATAATTTGTTAAAGGTATATTTTATGAAGCCAAAATATTCATCTTTTAAATGAAAAATTTTTTGCGTCGTATAAGTTTGTTTTTTTTATTTAATAATCTATAAACAGAAAAGACGAAAATTTTATTTTTTTTAATTTACAATACAATTCCCCCGGAATAATTGTGACATTACCAAACGCTAAAACTTATAAGTTTTTTTATTGTTTTTTTTGTTTTATTTATTTATTTAATAATCCATAAACAGGTAAGTTCTAATGTTTGGTAATACTAAAATTTTCCTGGGGTTGTATACATTTATTCATTTCGAAATCGGCCTCCAAGAGCCAGATTCATGTGTCAGTATTGGATGTATTATGTTGAAGAGTAAATAAAATTCAACATCACATTTACTGAGACTGCATCATTGTTTTTTTTTTTTTTTGACTTTCAGCTTTTTTTTGTTTCCTCCTTAGCCCTTATACCCACTCATTTACTCACACCTTGACTCGCTGTGACCCCTGAGTAACAGTTACATTCCCGCCATGCTTTTGGGTGAAATGAGTCATATATATATATATATATATATATATATATATATATATATATATATATATATATATAAAGGCGATAATACTAATATTCCATGGTTATAATTTATTACATTGGAATCGTATTTGAATCCAATTCATCAGACCTTGAAATTGTAGGTCTGATGAATTGTTTGGTGATTACTATTCCAATGTGCAATAAAATTTAACCATGAAATATTATTGTTTCACATATATATATATATATATATATATATATATATATATATATATATATATATATATATATATATTTAAAGATATTTTGTTGGTACAAATTTAATGATCGAAATAAAAGTATAAAATTCAATATTACGATATATATTAAAAAAAAAAAAAACAAAAAGGGGAAGCAACCGGTTTCGCTCCCGCTCTTCAGGCTTCAACTGGAGATTCAAAATTAATACAGAAAAATGTACAATAAAAGGAATTGGGGAATATATATATATATATATATATATATATATATATATATATATATATGCAGAAGGAACTAGAGACAAATGACAGCGAGTCCCAACAAACACTCACGTTGTTTACACAAAGAAGGCTTTTTCATATATATACATATATAATTTTTAAATAAGTTTATTCCAAAATGCGCTTTAAGATGAAACAGAATTAATGCTTTTAACTTTATTATTTAATTAAATTTGAAGTTTTTAGTTTCGGTGTTTGAAACATGATTATTACTGTTTCGCTCGGAAATCATATTTTGAATAGATTAATTTATAATATTTATGCTCTGTAAATTTACATTGAGCACTGTTTTGTAAAAATAAAAAAAATATCAATAAGAACCCCGCCGCATTATATATCTTAATGTTCTTTCTTTTTTTATTATATATATATATATATATATATATATATATATATATATACACATACATACTGTACTTGGATTATATCCTCTTGGAAATATATATATTGACCATTAATATTCTATCTCTCTCTCTCTCTCTCTCTCTTATACGTATATATATATATATATATATATATATATATATATATATATATATATATATATATATATATATAAGCTTTGGAACAGCGAAAGATCCTTCCAAAAGCTAAACATTATTAAGGAATATTTAGAAGCAATAAATTATACAGTGGGTATAAAGTGGGGGAACAATTCTATATTAGAATTGATATATAAACTGCTCCCTCACTTTCTGTCCAAGGGTGTATCTATACATTTATATTCCAGACAATTTAATTAAATCTAAAAGACGTAATTAATTAGTATTTCATTGATTGATTATTCTTTATGGCTTATTAGACCATTGCAGGTTATTCAAAGCCATGAGATATTTTTAGATTGTAAAAATGTCAGCTGCTGGCTCTCACGCTGACCAATAGAATCTTCCTGTCTATTCGTGGCAGCCAGCTATAGGCTCTCACTCTGGCCAGTACAAAATGGCCGCAAACTACATGGAAACTGACGTAGAAGCATGAAAAAATCAATTTATTTCCACTATCGATGACTTGGGAAATGCAAAGCCGGTCTTGACCTTGATTTGCTAACTTGAGCATGTGCATGTAAATTTTGGCTCAAATCCGTCGAAATTTACGGCACACACACACACACACACACACACACACACACACACACACACACACACACACACACACACATCCTGCCTTTTATAGATAGAGATTTACAATTCTCAAATTACGAATAATGCTTCTCAGACAATGAGAAAAATATGTCTAAATTTGTACAATAATTTTGTAAAATGTTGAAATTGTGCAATAATTTATTATTTTGAAAAAAATATGGTGACAAAGTTGAGGACAATAGTCCGAATAATGTAAATAGTGTACAGAATACCTCATCTCAGAAATATTGAGAGATATTGCAGTTTCCT